GTCTTATCTCGAGAAGGACTTGGCAACGTGCTCTCACGTCTACCTTCGATGTGATCGAGTCCGCCGGCCTCTGGAACCGCCCTATGACGGCCCATTTCGGGTGCTCTCTCGCGGGCCGAAGACTTTCCGCATTCAGCGCGACAATCGTGAAGAGGTCGTGAGTGTGGACCGCCTTAAGGCTGCCGTCCCTGACACTCCTCCGGATGAACCTTGTGGTCCTGTACCTTCTGCTTCCCCCCATGCAGCCTCTATTCCACCCTCCCGTATTTTCCCTCTGCCCTCCTGTCCGCCATCTCCGACTGCCACCACCAACTCCAACACTTCCGCTACCAGATTTATTCACTCTTCTTCGGACCCTGTATATATCACTCGCAGTGGTCGTCATGTACACTTTCCTGATCGGTTGGTCACTCATTTCTTTTAGACCTGTACACATCCTTCGGCGTCGTCTTCGCCGCCCTCTGGTCTCGGAGGGGGGTACTGTGGCGAGGCGCCAGACCATCTTGCCTTTCCCTACCTGTTCCTCATTCTTGAACTTACTGGTTGTTTAACTGAATGGAATGAACACAACTCGACGCGACGCGCCTTGCAAGAGTGGGATTGTCAGGTCGTTTGACTTTTGATTATTAATTCTTCCATAACTCTGGTCTTATCCTGATTTTCATAGTCTGGGATTAACGGTTCTGTCCTTAGCGCTCGCTACAGATCCTCCGGGGACGAACACGTACGCAACGACTTATGAACACCTTCGAACATAAATTCCGCATAAACTGGTCACGGGATTTCTAGAATCTCCTGTGCATCTCCCGACGATGTCATTTTTAAGAATGTACTTTCTGGCGTTTGAGAGTAGTGGGGATGAAAACGTTGAAAACTTCACTGGGAAGATTAGTAACTCAGAAGTGACCTCAACTCCGGTTGTTTCATTTCGACAATTCAGAACTCGGCTGCGACAATAGAGCGATTTTCGCACCAAATGCAACCACCTGCAAGGAATGCGGGGCCGCCAAGCAGTGAACACATTACGGTCACTTTGTTCTCGGGTGAGGAATTCTTTATGCTATGAACCTATGGGACCTTCCTTTCCAGACGACCCTCCGGCCTCACTTGTTTTTTTCTCATCCGGATTACTGCAGTGGTTCTGTGCCCGTTTGATAAGTGTTCCCACTTGGTGGTTTTTGGGAGCCACAAGATTGCCGCTGTGGAAATTGAGAAGCTGTGTGGTGTGTGTTGCTTCCCCGTAAACCATTGTCTTTATTTCACTGTCCGGACTTTGCTTGACGAGCACATCTAGGAAGTACAGCTACTGCCCTTTTCCTCCTTCCCAAATGAATTGTATGTCTGGGCAGAGTGAGTTTGACAATAACAGACATGTCTGCAACGTTGGGACGCCATAAAATTGGCTTCTGCTAGATGGAAACAGTTTTTCAAGTTTTTGTGGAACCAGTTCTGCCATTAAATCGGCGATTGGAAAGCCCATTGAAGATCGCCTGATCTGCTCATAGCTTTATCCCACAGAGGACCTTTGAGAAGATTCACACAGCTTCATGAGATATCCACTTTTGAAGGAGCTCTGACTTTTGGGTTTTTGCTTCTTCAAGTTTTGTGCGCCAGATTCGGTGGGATGGATGTGGATATCGACGTCACATCGAAATAGACCATGATTTCGGGTTTTTTGTCATAGAAATAAGCAGTTAGGCCAACAGAACACGTCAAAGTAAAACGGCACGTTTGGCTTATATTGAAGGTGATTAGCGTGGTTGTCTTATGATTATCATCAGTATGCGGTCAATTTAATTGTGAGCGCGTCAGTAAAAAAAGCAAGAGCCATCCAGACACTGGCGACAGTAAAGAAAATGTGGAGTTAAAGTTCTGGTTACTATCAAGTAGTTAGTAGTAAAATATAGCAAGCATGCACATTGATGAGTTTACAGTTACCCTAATAGAAGAACCAACTACAGTACAACCTCCCAGGACGCCATTTTCACAAATGCAATTCCGGACGCTTAAAAGTGATGGGGAAGAAAATGTCACAAGCTGTCTTGGATAATTGATGATTGATGCGGCAATGAAGCTTCTATCGTACCAATTGCGACCATCTGCGACGAATGTGAGGCCCGCCAATTGTGATATGCCTACAGTAGATTAGCAACTGCATCCTATAAATGCCGCAGCACTCGTGCGACTCCGTGGCACGTGTAGTTCAGTCTAACCTTGTTTGAATTGCAATTACTTCTTCACGCATTGACTTAGTCGGTCACTTTCCAAACCACCACACAGTTTTGGGAGATTTGTTTCGGTAAACAAATATGCCGTTATATTCGGTCAGTTGTTTGTCAATTGTCGGACATAAAAAATCCCAAATTAAGCTTACGCGCCTTTTGAATGCAATGTCGATCATCCCTGCTGCTATGGGAAGCTTGTCTTGCAGTAAATCTAGAGAATACAGCACAAAAAGGCTAAAGATAAAACATAACTGATGATACTTACAGACATCTGCTCAATTTCATTGGCGTTATTTCTTGCTTTCTTCCTTAATCCTAATGCCCTACTTTCACA